TGAAATGTAGAGGGCAATTGCATACATAACATCCAGCACATGTAATGTTCTTTCCAGATCATTAGATCAGTGGTTCTTAACCTTTGTTACTCGGATGCATTTGAACTGCAACTCCCAGAAACCCCAGTCAGCACAGCTGGTGGTGAAGGCTTCTGGGAGTTGCAGTCCAAAACTCCTGAGTAACTCAAGGTTAAGAACCAGTCCATTAGATGATTTGAAAACAAAAGTTGGGTAAGACAACTGGCATTTATATAATCCGTATAAAAAGAAGAAACTACTTTTGGCAGAAAGGCTGTAACATTACTTTCCTTTATGGAAATTCAGGGACAGTGGGTCACAATGAAGTGCACATGATTCACCTACTCATCTAGCAGAAATGACTGACACCACGAAGGTTGCCTTGAAGGATACTAAACATAAATCCATGGATGCCATGGATTCAAAGGAGCACCATCAACCAAATGAGAACCAAAGACAGAGACTAGGATGGTACAAGCATTTTAATGTCTGGATACAACTCATTAAGTCCCTTTAAAAATTGTTTGACTTTCAGGTTTGAAACCTGAGTCTGAGCTCCTACAGCAGTTAGTTGACATGCAACAATTGGGGCTAAATACACTTTCAGTGAGGAATGTAAAATTCCATTTTCTTTCAGGTGAAGTAGACATTTTAAGGCCGTATCTACTGGTGGTAGGAATACGGGTCCCCTGTCCATGAAGCATAAGATACTCCTCTACCCATTTATGTAAATACATTCTTCTCACTGATGGCTTTCTAGAGACATTAAAAATCCTCCATACAGTTACAGAAGAAGGAATTATTCCAGAAGCTTTTGTATTATTAGTCTCAGAGTTTTCAGGTCTGGGTGCTGAACTTTACCCTTCTGACAAGCCAGCAGATCCAAGTCCAGTGATAACCTCTTGTGCACCGGAGACATTTGTAACAGTGTTGAGAACCAAGGCTTGTGATGCCACCATGGCATTCTGAAAATGGCACATGCCTTGTCTTGCTTGACCGTTACAATGACTCCGTGAAACAGGGGAAATGCTAGAAATAAATAAAAGGGATATTGTTTCCAAGCCATTACAAAAGCATCTCCTAAGCAATGATGCCCTATCCCTACTTTCCAGCAGTATCAGCAACACTTTTGATTGTGCTGCATCATAAGAAGATCTGTGTTAGATGCCTACATAGTTATCTTGCTATCCCATTTGTGAGTGTGTTCTATTTGACATTTTGATTGTCCCCATCCTCAATGTAAATTGCCACTGTGAAGACATGCTTTTGTATACAGTATTCCCAGATGTCTGCTGTTAGAAGTCATGGTGAATGAGCACCCCCTTGTTTACTGAGGTAGCACACTGCTGTGGTATTTGTCTGTAGAAATCTATACCACTTTGCATTCTACACACCTTTGAAAGACTCTTAATGCCTTGTAAATGCCTTGTAAAAAGCCGCCCCGAGTAGACATGGTCTAGAGGGGCGGGGGAAAAATCAAATAAATAAATAAATAAATAAATAAATAAATAAATAATTGCTGGCATGTAGCCTCGTCTCTAGTCTGGACCATACTATTGCCCTGGCAATGAGCTCCCCAGCCTTTTCTGCTCACATTTGTGGTTACCATTATTGAGGGCTGAAGAAGTGTGAATTATATGCCATTACTAAGCCAGATTTGTCCACTACTTGAATTGGCTCAGGATTAGTGGAGGAACAATCAGTCAGCGCAATGGATTACATCTTAAATTGTCAAAATTGGCTAGAAACTATATATGAAGAGGCATCATTCACAGTCTTGCATGAAGGACGATTGCTGTTGTAGAGGCCATCAATATAAACAGCTTCCAAATTTGAAGAACAGGAACTATTCTATTGTCGCAAATACAGTGGTGCCCCGCTTGACGATTACCCCAGTAGAAGATGAAATCACTTAACGATGAGGTTTTTGCGATGTTTCAATGGGGAAAATACTCTTCATGATGATTGGTTCCCTGCTTTGGGAATCAATTTTTCGCTTCCCGATGATCAAAAACAGCTGATTGTCGGGTTTTCAAAATGGCCGCCCGCTGTTTTCCGGGCCTATTTCCAGAAGACAGAGATCGAAAATGGCTTCCCCCATGGAGGATATTCGCTGGACGATGAGGTATTTTGCCCATTGGAATGCATTGAAATGGTTTTCAATGCATTTCAATGTTTTTTTCCTTTTGCTTGACGACGATATCACTTAACAGCGATTTTAACGGAATGGATTAACATCGTCAAACGGGCCACCACTGTATCCACAATAAGAAGTATGATATTTTCTATTCTGGTTTGTGGAAGAAATGATCTTGTTTTGCTGGAGAGCACTTATATAATGAATGGTTTTCATTGGTCTCAGGAAGGATGTCTCACCAAGACCTTCAGAGTCAGGTCCTGTCTTTTGTTCACTCTGGATCATTAAGTGAATTTTGAAAAGTCCTCCCTGGGACCAAGAAAAACTATTCACTGCATTTCACCTTGAACCATTGAAGACTGATGTAAGACCAACTGGACCTGATTCTGAAACTCCTGGCAAGAATCTGCTATCAAAATTCAATTCCTGTCTATGTACAGAAATATGTGCATGCCACAAAATCTTAGTTATGCTGCCACTGGAGCCATACACTTCAAAAATGTATGGGTACTATCCTATCTCTAGACTGAAGGGCAGAACTTTGAACTTGTGTATTTGTTGACCTAAGGCGAAATACAGGAATTGACAATGGTCTTGCCATATTGAAATGTAGAAATATGAATACTTCAGTAGTGGTAGGATAAGTTGTAGGGTGATCATCTGCAGTAATAGCACTCATATGTGAGTCATAGAGACCGTGAAGAAGCAGCTAATATTTTCTATTAATAAGCTAGTCACAAACCTTTGTGTACTACTACAAATATTTCTGATGGTGAGCATTTAATCCCTAAATAGTATTTACTTACTGGAAGAGTTGAATTAAAATTAAAATTTAGAAAAGTCACTTCAGAATTTATATTTCCCAAAACTAGAACTCTTATAATAATGCAAAAAAAGTGGTTGCATGTTATGAAGAAATAAAGCAAACAGTACTGAGCAACATGAAACTTAATAAGTTCCCATTCCTTCCAGCTTCCATTTATTTTGAAAGACTACATTTCTAGCCCATATAATTGCAAGAATACTCTTGACTTAGTGACCTCGTCTAAGATATACAGAAAATACATAGAACTGATTGTTTCAATGACCCATACTGCTGATTATTATTTGAGAAAATAGAAAAAGAAGTCATGTGATCCACATGTAGCAACTAGATCACTAAAATGGAACTAAACAGATAATTTCTGTGATTTATTTATTTATTTATTTTAATTTATATGCCGCCCACACTATAATGGTACTATATTTTTATGTCTTTTTCTTACTAATATTGAAAAAAAATTATACATGAAGATAAAGGTAAAGGTAAAGGTTCCCCTTGACATTTTCAGTCCAGTGGTGCCTGACTTTAGGGGGCGGCGCTCATCCCGTTTTCAAGCCATAGAGCCAGCGCTTGTCTGAAGACAGTTTCCGTGGTCACATGGGTAGCGTGACTAGGGAACACTGTTTTACCTTCCCACTGAGGTGGTATCTATTTATCTACTCGCATTTGCATGCTTTCAAACTGCTAGGTTGGTGAGGAGCTGGGACAAAGCGACAGGAGCTCACTCCGTTGCATGGATTCGATCTTATGACTGCTGGTCTTCTGACCCTGCAACACAGGCTTCTGCGGTTTAGCCCGCAGCGCCACCACGTCCCATGCTATCCAAAACTTGTCACATCTAACATTATTCTTACAAAGTTGTATGCAAGTGATTTTGACTACACCAATTAAAGAGCTGCAATGTCATTTAACTGCTCATTTGCCTTTTTCTGTTCTAAATGCTCTTGATTATCAAATAGTTTAAATTACAGAAAGTCAGTTGCCTCCGTTATTCTCATCTGTGACACATAACCCAGTTCTCAGGAACAGGGCATTCCTCATAACCCACACTGAACAGTCCAGCTATACAAGTGAGAACTTTTGTGGAACTAAGAAACAGTTCTATTATATGAAGGTTGAGTCAATTCTAATTGCTAATTATCAACTAATTGCTTACAAGAAGATAATGGGGAAAATATTTTGTTCAAGTTTTTCTTTTCTTAGTATTTCCAACTATCAACTAGGCACAGCAGTCACAAGAACCACCACTGATAAAGGGTCCCATTCTCTATTTCTTTAAATTCCAGTGATATCTCTGTACTTGAAGAAAATCTGAACTTCACAACACGTACCTCTCTATTCACATTTCTGAATGTTACCTTCATGGCAATCTAGATCTGGCAGAAATTGTCAGACTGGTCACATATGCATAGGACTCTTCTTTAGGCTTTCGTTATGTGTTGTTTCTGCCTCTATGGCAACCTGCCTCTGACACAGTATTGCAATTATGACACATAGTGCACAGTCCTTACCCTCCTGGATTTGACCATCAGTGGATGACATCACTTGGCCATTAGGTCTCCTACTCTGCTGGGATGAAAGATTGACCCAGTTGCCTTGCAATAAAGTTATGGTGGTGGTAGTGATGGTTACGATTATGATGACAATGGCTGAATTATTTGCTGTACCATTTTCAGTTATTAGGCAGCAGCTTTGTAACTGCAACAATTTGAAATTATGGGAGAAGTCTAAGAGACCATTATAGTGCAGTCCCTCCCTGATGCTGTGAGAGAGCCTCCCCACATGTATGGTGTAGATAGATCTTTCTCTGAGCAGACATGCTTACTACAAAATCACATTACTACAGAATTATTAATATAGTGAAGGGATTACTAGTTAACTTGCCTTTGAACAATCTGCACTTTTTTAACACATATTCTCTGGATTTCTAGCCACAATGATTTCAGAACATTAAACAAGAACATTGTGTTGTTATTTGAGAGAAAGAAGACAGATATATGTCAATAACCATAGGCTACTTACTCACAAACAGCAGGGAATGACAGACCGACAAAGGCACTAGAAAGATACTCTGTATACATTTCATTAGCAACTCCTTCCAGGTAGTATTTCTGCCACGTATCCTCCTCAATCTAGGAAAGATGAAGGAGAAGGGGGTAAAAAATCAATTTCAGAGTATGCACCCACTTTCTACAAAAATAAATGGAGGTGATTTAATACAAATCAATGTTTAGGTAATTAAACCTGATATCTCAGTTAATTGGTTTGCCTGTTAATAATGCCTTTTAAGTTTCTAGACCATCTTCTCTATGAGCAGGAGTAAGTGGGAACCCTACATTCAACATTTGGGAACAGTGGGTTGTTCATTGTTGTTGTTGTTGTTGTTGTTTTGCAAAGAAGGAAATCCTATAACTTGCAGAGAATACTTGTTGGGGGAAAACTGACAAAATGCTTCTCACAAATAATTTTGAAATATTATGCATACAAATTTATAAGGAAAAAACAGAAACATTTATTTCTGAGTAAACACAAACTATCCATTATTGAGCTATCCATTATTTAGCCATCTATTCCAGTTTCTACCAAAAAGTGTTGTTTGCACTCTTCACCCTTACCCTGGCTGGCTCTGAATCAATGAAGCAAAGTAAATTTTTAAACATCTAACAACTTCATATTGAGTCATTGTGAAGGAATGGCTAAGCTTGGTAGGTGGTCTGTAACTGAACATCTTAATCGATGAAACTGTACCATTTTAGGGTTTCAGAAACAGAGACTACCATCATCTATTTTGTATATGCATGTTACATCTACATTCCTCATAATGATGTATGTACAACAGTACTCAAGCAAAGAAATTAAAACACTGACATGCTTCTGGGAAAAGTGCCAAAATTAATTTTGTAGTCATTTAGCAATCAGCTGAAAAATATCCTAAGGCAGTGATGACTTATCTCTGCCTGTCATGTCCAGGGACAGCTGTTTCAGAGGACCATCAACAAAAATTTCTTCAACAAATATCTCTCATTACAGAATCAAATACATTTTAATTCATGTATCCAAGCCACATGTCAATGGGACCACCATTTTTTAATGGGAGGCATTTCTTTCTTATCAGAGACAACAATGTTTTAACATAGCCAAGGACATCAGGTATTCTCAGCACCTCCCAGAAGTGTCCAGATTGGTGTCCCTCACACCCTTTCCACCTTTGGAACTTCTGCTCTCCAGATATATTTGGTCTTCTCCAAATGATGCAGAGGCAAGCAAAACTCCATTATCACTGCCACAGGGAACAGCTGGGGTAGGCAGTATAGCCACTGCCACATTCAGCCCTCTAGTAATGCCCCCTCCAGCCAATGTCACTTCCTCAAAATTCATCTCGCCGTCTCACCATACTCACACTGGAGTCAAGTGTCTCATGTCACATGCTGCTTTATATTAGTCATTCATGCTGGCTGGGTAAAATAAAATAATGGAAGAGAAATGTATGATGGCAGAAATAACCCTACCTATCCAGAACTAGGACATGGTTCTTTTCTAGATAATTTCACCAGTTTCACATCACTGCTCTGTGAAACGTAAACACAGCAAAGTGGTACTACAAATGCATGCATTCCTTCATTCCAAAAAGGAGGTACTTGAAGAACTCCTTCTTAGGAAAGTCGTAAGCTGCCAAACAGGGCATTTGCAAAGGCAGGTACCCCAGGTAGAATGGTGGCAGGAAGGATAAAAATAAGCACAATCCTGCTCACTTCAATTGCTATCAGTAGTACCACCACTTTCCTTTTCTCCAGTCCAAGAATATACCTTTGGGAAAAGAGTGGTCCCAGTAGAGCATTATCTCTTCCTGAGAATGGGAGAGGGTCTACCACTGCAACATTATAAAGATTTCCATGGGCCTGCAGTTCACATTCAAAATCACCAATAGAATCATAAAAACCTGGCACATACTCTCAGAAGTTTCATTTTTAAAAAAGCTGAATTTTACTCAGATGTGCTTTTTCAACTTTTGTCATTCCACAAGCAAAAAACATCTATCTTCCAAAGTATACAAAAGCCTTTGAGAAATATATCAAGTCTCAGCTCCTGAAATTGCTAGCATATCTGCAGAAACAACAATGAGGTGGTGATAAAGCCTGGTTTTCCAATCTATGATATGTGAAAGAAACTACAACATCTATCTTCTTCGACTCTCCAGTACTTAACAGCAAGAGAGATTTATGCCACCAATTGCCTGAACAAGTTTATTCCGCAAAACAAACAAAGGTTTATACAACTAAAATCTTTGCTCTGAAATGAAATCCACCAATACTTGTGCAATTTTATTAGTCTATACTGTACAAAGATTGGCGATCTAAGGTTTTGAAAATCAGGTGTCACAAAGCTCTGATGGGATAAGGGTATTGTTTTCAGTAGCAGGACAGTGTGTCTTCATAAAAGGAGTTATTCTTACGTTACTATATTTATGATTTGGCCAAACCTATTATTTCTCAATTAACCTTCAAGGTTGCTTTGTATATAATGACTGGACTTTGAATTCTGTGTTGAACCAGTCCTTAAATACGTTGGGACTAGATATCTACATGCAATGAACTGGTTGATCAGCCAACTCAAGGTTGACTCAGCCTTCTATCCTTCCGAGGTTGGTAAAATTGAGTACCCNNGTTTGGGTGGGGGGGGGGGGGGAAGCCTGCATAATTAACTTGTAAACCGCCCAGAGAATGCTTGAAGCACTATGGGGCAGTATAGAAGCAGCACGCTTTGCTTTTTTTGCTTTTTGAAAATAAGTCCTCAATATTCCAAAGAGGCAGGCCAGACAGTTTCAGTGCCCAAACTAGCTAAATTTTACCTCTGTGCTATCTTTAAAAGAACTTCAGCCCTGACTAAGGCTAGACCAGTTCTTCTCAGTCTATGTTCCCAAATATCATACTTCAACTCTCATTAACAACTAGCACGGCCAATTGTCAGAGATGATTGAAGTTGTAATCCAACATGTGGGAATGTAAAGTTTAGAAAGGATATAACCATGTACCCCTTTAGTTCTTGACTCTCCAAACTCCCTTGTATCCATGTTCTGTTACTCTGTGCAAAAAGAACCATTTGTTGCCTTACTCAGGTGAGTTATTCCCACTGTTCATCTTTCTCCAGCTCCTCCTAGCTTCAAAATTATGCCTGTAATACCCATACCCCCTGTTCCTTAGCCCATCTGAATGGTGAGCAGGGAATTTGCAGTCTGAACTGCAAGTTTTAGTTTACTCTTTATATTTGACTTAAAGTCCAAAGGGGTAACTCACACACACACATTCACTCATTTTGGAAGAATAGCAAAGTGTCACCATCCCCCTTTCTAACAAGCTGCATTTAAAAGATACAATCTTCTCTTAAAAATGGAATGGAGATATTTTTACAGAGTTCTGTTTCTCAGTGAAGAATATTTTTTGTAGCACTTTGTCCAACATGCAGGGGTGTTAAATCCCCAGACCCTTTCCCAAGAAAGTAGGACATTCAGACAGTTTCCTTTGGAGAAGAATGAAAGTGCTCTCAATACTTCTTATGTGCAATCTAAGCAGGCAGTCCTTGGGTGCCAACCTGCAATCCCATGATTCTGTTGTGCCGACTGGAAGTCTGGCTAATTCACATAGCTGAAAAGCTGCAGCAGGTGCTCCTTCTGCACTTACAGACTCACATTCCCAATTTCAGAACCTCATTTGTTGTACCAGATTCAGGTTTTGGTGATGGTAGGGCACTGGGGATGATGGCTTTTGGAACTTCACTTATTTGAGTCAGTCCTTGTCCTCTCTGCCACAGTCACTGCTGCCCACTGACCTGTGCTCTTTTTCTGGGCCACGTCTATGTGGCTGCCCAGGGGGGACAAGGCAGGTCATGCAGAGGCACTGCTTTCTCGCTCAAAAGGGGCAACTCAGCTCTAAACCTCAGCAAGGGGGAGGAGTAGCAGAAGGGCCAGGTCAACTCCTGGAATCCCCCTGCTGAAGTATGGGCCTCGGGAGGCACGGAGGAGGAGGCGGCTAACTCCAAATACTGGTCCTGCTTGCTCCTGTTGGTTGGAGGAACTACAGGATCCCACTAGCCAAAAATCAAGAGACATATAATCCACCTCCTGCTTATGCCCACCCCCATGATTACTTGGAGACTCAGAGATGCTCTGGCTGCAGAAGTAACATGTTTGCAATTCCCAGCCATAGGATTTAACCACATTCACTATTTCACTTCTCAAACCAATTATTCTGCAGAGTTATTCTGCAGAGAGTAATAATTATATCCCATGTGGCTGCCAGGGGGGACAGGGCAGGTCATGCAGAGGCACTGCTTTCTCACTCAAAAGGGGCATCTCAGCTCTAAACCACAGCAAGGGGGAGGAGTAGCAGAAGGGCCAGGTTTCACTTCTCAAGCTAATCATTATACAGTTATTCTGCAGAGAGTAATAATTATATCTTGAACTGAAGGCATGGGCGCTTCCAGACCGAAGTCTCTTACTGTTAACAATAATAATAATAAAAATTGTCCACTTCTTCTAAGGAACAGCAGAAAAACACGGAAAGGCTACAAATTGTAAAATACAATGTCCACAGTTATTCTGCAGAGAGTAATAATTATATCTTGAACTGAAGGCATGGGTGCTTCCAGACCGAAGCCTCTTACTGTTAACAATAAAAAAACAACAACACATTGTCCAATTCTTCTAAAGAACAGCAGAAAAACACGGGAAGGCTACAAATTGTAAAATACAATGTCCAACTGAATATACAAATGAACAGAATAACTGTCAAATTTTGTGAATGAAGTGACTGAACATAAAAGCCTAGTCTGGATCTGAAAGCATCCCACAGACCTAGTGTCCAGTAGTCTAGTATTTTACCTACAGTGAAAATCTGATGATATTAAATGCAATAAGTAAGAATAAGAGAGTACTTTGAATTCTTCTACTTTTTTTATTATAATGTCAAACTTTTCATTGTTTTGTTTAGATTGTAAGTATTTTCAGCTATTTCACCATTCCATAAATGCATTTTGGTTATCTTGAATTTATTTTCTTCAGCCAAATTTCATGCCAAGTAAGAGTTTCCATATGATGAATGCTGCTTTTCAAGCATAAGAAAAATATATTCAACTACAAGATAACATTTTGAGTTCTCTAGATTTGTTTTACTGCTAATGTTGGGCAGAGAGGTTATATAAATAATTTGGCTGCAAAGTTAAACCTTAATCAGTTAAATGTGTGCTGTGTCACCACTGATCCTGTACATTTGTCCTTGATGGATCTAATATTTCTGAAGTATTATACTGCTTTGTAATCAGGTTGGGAGAAAGAGGGGGAGGAACCTCTCCATTCCAATTTATTTTTAAAAACTGACAGGAGTTCTACTAAGATTTTGCTGGCAATCTCCGGACATGTACATTTCCACTGATATTATTTGCCTGAAGCCTATTATATGTGGTCTAGAAGAAAGTGAGAAACTGAGAAGTCAATTCCCTTTCCTTGCCTTGACAGAAATATGGGGGGGGGGGGGG